GGTCCGTTTGGTGTGTTGTGGATGATGATCGCTCTACCAGCTGTTGTTGTGTCATCCTACTTGTTCTGTAACGGAAGACAACCGTGTACAATCCGTCAGTTACCGTCTAGTATTCCGCCTCTGTGGAAGTTTCATGGGGGATTTTTTGACATTGGCCACCTGATTGTCGGTGGATGGATCCTACTACAGGCATTCATCTATATGCTTCCAGTTGGAAAGGTACATATATGCATTTTGCTTCTTTACTGTGTGTGAGCTCATTTTGCATGAAAATTATGTAACATGTGCAACCCCGAATTATCAAACATCCTGAGGCTAAAACCTCAGACAAACATTCTTCAATCAAACAAATAATTTTTCGTTTCCCTTGGAGGTTCGAGAAATTCTGATTCCACTACATCATTCTGGTCATCCCATTTTTTATCCTTACCTCTCTGTGGATAAGATATTCTCACAGGGCTACCAAAGTCATTTCTGCTCTGTTGGCACCAGATGAACTTTTAAATATTGGTGAGGGGGTTTGGAAGAGAGTTAGACAAGTACTAACGGTGCCGCGATAAACAGCTTATGTTGTTGTTTATGAGCAGATGATGTATTAAAAAAAAAATGATCATGTCAGGCCACGATTTGGGAAAAATTGAATATGCGCCCCCTCTCGATAAAGTGCCCCACTCGAATAAGTGCCGCTCTCTTCACCTAAATTTGAAAAAAAGTGCCCCAGGTGCTAATTCAAGGATTTCCTGTGTCTGTTTTCAAATAATAATTTGTGTTATTTGGTTGTCACAGGTTGTATATGGACGAGTGCTTTCTGATGGAACTTCCCTTGATTACAGAATGAATGGTAATGCTATTTATTTTATTGGTATTTAAATGCTTTGCACCAGTACACACTGTAGTATCAGACATGATAACAGAACTGCAAATGCAGTAAAGAGAAAAGTTCCTAGCATGCATCAAAGACAGTCTACATTGCTTATATAGACCATTCGTGCAAGGACTCAGAAAAGC